GGAAAAATTGTCTCCCACGAAGCTGGTCCCTGGTGCCCAAAAGGTTGGGGGGACCGCTGCCTCAGACCATCCCACCTGAACCCGGTATTGGCCAGTTCTTTCCAGAAGTGGGTCTTTTAAGTCACCTTGGAGAAAAAGCTGACTGTCCTGGTGTGATCCAGCCGTGGGGATAATACGAGGAGGAGATCGTTGATCAGCAAGGGTTTGTAATCCAAATAAAATTGCAGGGCTCGGTAATACAACTCGACGTTGGCGACCTGGAGGGTACGAATGGGTCAAGAAAACGGTTAGCCTCTTAAAACAGTACATTAAATTTAATTACCCAACATTGAAGACCTATTTCAAAGACTCAACCTGGAACAAACAGGAGGGATACCGTGTTTCCCTGCAAATAAGACCGGGTCTTGTGTTAATTTTTGCTCCAAAAGACGTATTAGGGCTTATTTTCTGGTTAGGACTTATATTCAGGGAAATACGGTACTCAATGCGTCCGTAAACCAATGGCCGTAAATGGAGGACCGGCGAAAGTAAGTAGTAGATCAGAAATGTCCTTGGGTCAGTCTTGAAGACCCCCCTGTAGCAACTTCAACTGGTCCAACTAAGAAATCAACCCACAGCACATCAACTTCTCCTGCTTGAGCAGGGGGCTGGACTAGAAGACCTCCAAGGTCCCTCCCAGCTGTATTCTATTCTATTCTATTCTATTCTATTCTATTCTATTCTACTCTACTCTGTTCTACTTCTATTCTATTCTATTCTATTCTGTTTTGCATTCTATTCTGTTCTGTTCTATTCTATTCTATTCTGTTCTGCATTCTATTCTATTCTATTCTACTCTACTCTGTTCTACTTCTATTCTATTCTATTCTACTCCTATTCTACTCTACTCTACTCTACTCTGTTCTACTTCTATTCTACTCTACTGTATTCCTATTCACTTTAAAGGCGTTCACCTTGGCAATGATGTCCTTGAACTGTCCTTCCTTCCAAGCATCCGTCGGATGGTTCATCATGGTGATTATTGCATTGTCATATTCTTCGTATTTATCATAGAGGAAGACAAGCTCTCCCCAGAGGTGGGCGTGTTCTGCAGCTCGGAGGACCTTGAAGACACGGGAGCGTTTGAAAGTCAACAGTGAAAAGGCAAGACAAGAGTCCAAAGCACGATAAAGTTACTGGTACCCAAACTATTTGACTTTTTGTGTATTTTACGAAGCTAGCTGGAAAGCGGAACAATATCAGTTATTTACTTGACTTCAGGGACATCAGATACCTTTGGGATGTTGACTCTGGACCAGAAGAGCTCCAGGTGTTCTCTCATCTTCTGGGGCTTGTATTTGGAATATAAAATAGCAAGCTCGGTGAACATCCCCATGTGGGCCCGTTCCAGACCCAGAGCTGCTTCCAAGAGGCCGATCAATTCCTCGAAGTAACCACGGCCCTGCAAGTTGAGACCACAAGCAGGTTAAAGCAGCTTAAGACCACCTTTGCAGCTGAACAAGATCAGCAGATAATCCCATGAACTTCCATTCCAGCGTATGAATATGTAAGAATCCAGACCATCCGAATGAACCAATCAACGAGAGAACCAGTCAGCTGCTCAGAATTTAAATTTAATATAGCTCCAAATGAACAACCCATCACAGACCACACTGGCACACCAGCCTTATATAAACTCAAGAGGAATAGGAGAAGAAAATCCTGCTGATAAGGTTATCTAGCCTTGACGTGATGACCCGTTGCCTGGAGGCCGTACGGGTCTGGATGGGGAGGAACAGACTCAGGCTCAACCCTTCCAAGACTGAGTGGCTGTGGCTGCCGGCGCCTCGGCATAGTCAGCTGACCCCATCGCTGACTATAGGGGGCGAAATTTTGGCCCCCTCAGAGAGGGCCCGCAACTTGGGAGTCCTCCTGGATCCA